AAATTATTACATTACTACCTCATAACTATAACTTTTCTACTGTTATGGATCATAATGTAAATATCTGATATGTGACTCCCAAAACCCAGGTTGAGAACTGCTGATTTAAGGTTGTTCTAGACTAATTTAGAGGCATTAGCTCATTTAATCCTCTCAATAACCTTACATGAAGAATATATTCATATATTATTCCCTTTTGTAGAAGAGAAACTGAGATACCATGCAGTTAATTTGCCCAAGATCACACATCCCATCAGTGTGTATGCAGGATTTACACAGGTTTAAATCTCAGTTTGATACATATAGTCTGTCCCCTGAGCTTCTCTCAAAAACTTGGAACCAACTGGAATTATGGAACTGGGGAAAATAGTCTTACATTTGGGTGTTTATCATTCAGAAAAACATATGTTTGGTTCAAAGTGAGAACTTTTTTCTTTTAAATATTTATTTACATCTATCTATCCATCTATCTATCTATCTATCTTGTGAGACAAGGTCTCATTCTGTAATTCAGGTTGGTCTGAAACTTGTGTGGCCCAGGATGGCCTTGAACTCATAGTAATTCTCCTGTCTCTGCTTTCAAGTGCTGAAATCACAGTATGATCCATCATGCCTGGCTTGTCTTTTGGTTTTGATTCGCGCTTTCATGTTCCATTTAAAGGAGGGATGGCCTCACCAGTGACGTCATTCAGTAAAGCCACAGACTGAATGTAGGCTAATAGGCTAATGTCTACAGGCAGTAGCCTTGGAGAAACGCCCTGAATTAATATCAGTATATCCCCTGTTGAGGCTAATTAATTCTTTTCTCAAAGCAATTTGTTCTGTTTTGAATGAAGTCATTAAGACACGTTGGGCATTTGAAAAGTGCATATGAATTTTTAGGAGTGTGTTTTATTTCACCAGATTTCCAGTCAATCTTTTGAGTGGACAGAGAAGTTTAAACCAGCAAGGGTTTGTTTGCACACTGAGTCTGCAGACAGAGCTCAGATTCATAAGTGCACTGCCATTCTTCCCTCATTAAACCTTTGATTCATCACCCAGTCCGTGTTGTCTAGCACAACCCGTGGTATACACCAGGCATCCAATAAATTCTTCGTGAATTATAATGATCAAAATGTTCACTCTTCAACCTAATTTATGCCATGCTTGCTACTTCAGAGATTTTTTTAAAATGGTACTTTAAGTGTCAATTTAAATTTTAGAGTTCTGGAATTAGAATCTTTTGCAGATTTTCTTGTCTGACATTTGATATTCAGAGTATAAAGCACATTTCTGATATTTGTATTCTCCTTGAAGGACATGACAAGTAAGAACTAAAGGGAAATGGTTGTGTTCTTCATTTTATACTTTTCTTTATTTTATCTCATATATATATATTTTTTCGTATTTTTCTGAAGCCTTAGGCTATTGAAAGGAGAACAGACTTAATAAATAAGGAAAAATACAATATACAGTTTAGACTAAACACATCAAAAGGAAAGGTAAGTGGATGAAGAGTTTGCAGATCTGTGATTGAATATCAAAGTAAAATTATTTACTCAAGTAAGAACAGGTCCTGCTGGCAGGATCTGAATTTAAACTGGCTGGTGGTTAGAATCAAGATTCTATGAGTATTTCCACCCCTAGCACTAGTACCCACCACTGGTTCACCTCTCACCCCTACTATCCCACCCACCCTCACTCATGTCTTAGTGTCTGCTCTATAGGTTGCGCTTTAAGCTTTAAGAACCAACAAGAACCATTCTTTGCACCTTCCCAGTACTTGAGGCTTCCACCTAAAGTTAATGCCCTCCAAATAGTAGGAAAATGCTGAGAAGACACAGCACTGACTTACTTCAAATGAGACAGTTACTTGTTTGTTTGATCGAGATTTTGAATCCTGAGTTCTCATGTTTGCCCCATCACCAGGTAACTAAGGACACATCTCCCCTCGAGTGCGAATCTGAACACCCATCTGCTCTGATCATGTAACAGTTTTGTGACTCAGTTAAACTATTAGGAACATGCTCCGGGTGGGGCTGTGGAGCAAACATTGAGCCTTTCTGACCTACTTGCCTTATTTCTAAAACACAGGGATGACTTTCAAGAAAGGGGGAAAAAGATAGAAGTGTTACCATGATGAAACGACAAGGTGTAAGTCAGCAAGCTGCAGTGACCTTCTCAGTTGGGTTATTCAATCGCTATTCTTGCTTTGGGCAATTCTCAGCTTAGGGTCGCTCCCCACACAGCCGTGCATCCCATATCTTATGAAAGTTCCCTCCAGCCTGCTGCCTGGACTAACCACCCAGGGCATGCTGACCTGTACCCTCCCTGGCACCTCCCTGCCCTCTCCTGCTTCCTGTGGCTTGCCCTTTTGTGTACTTCATCTTAGATGTCTCACGCGTGCATGTTCTTATGTATTCTCAGCTTTTCTTTCCTTCTTAACCTAAGAAAACATCTCAAATATTTTTTTCCAATTCACTTGTAAAGAATAGAGTTCTAATATTGTCTAAAGAAGCATAAATGTGAACATTGATGCCCTTCACAAGGGAGAAGGACTCCTGGGGCTTCTGAAGGTTGCATTAAACACGTTAGGAGCTGGTGGCACTTCTCTGGAGAGCCCTATAAAGTGACCATGGGTGTGATTCAGAATTTCCACAGTTTCGTGTCTTTTAAACATTGAGACCTACTCATCTGTTATTACAGGCAGTCCAAATAGACACAGAATTTATAGTATTTAGTTCCCCTGTTTTCTGTAATAGCAAGGCAAAATGCTGTGTGTAACATATTAAACACTGAAGTAAAGTTGCTATCTGGGAAGATGTGGGGGTGGGGGTAGGCAGGGTTGCTTGAACTGGATCTTGTACTTTGAGTAGAACACTCTCAGTTGACTGAACCAAAGAAAGACTTTCTACGCACGGGGCAAGGCTTGAAGGCAGGCATCACTTGATGAGAAGAGCTGCTTAACAATATTGTCAAGTTTAAATTGACTGCGGAGTGTGAGGTTAAGTGTGGAATGAGAGCGAGAGAGAGAGAGAGAGAGAGAGAGAGAGAGAGAGAGAGTCGTGTAGTTTTGTTTGTTTTTCTGTTCTCTTGCCTATCTCCCCCATTTCCCATATGCAGCTAAGAACAACCCAAGCCTTCGCTGCTGTGATCCAATGGTGGAAATGATGTCTTTGCAGAGAACCCGAGGCAGCAGACAGCTTGGAAGGTGAATGCCACTCATCTCCGGGTCCATCATCTTGACCTTGTGTTGATGGATAAGAGGGTTTGGGCTCACATCTGAAACCGTGAGACTTTTCCACCCCCGAGAAAATGGGGAGGCAGGTAAAGCAGACAGACTTTCAGAGGGAGGGTGCTTACGTAGAGCCCCCCCCCCCCCATTCAGGCCAGGTGAGGATAGGGATGGATGCTGCTTTCTCTCCAGGGCTCAGCTGGACACTTCTCATGGCAAGCAGCAAGGGAGGAAACAGTGGAGAGCACTGAGAGGCTCAACTTCTTTCTGAACAGCCAGAAAAATTCAAACGACTAAGACTCAAAGTTACAAACTCCGCTTGCTCAGGATGGTAGCTTTTTAGGAGTCAGACCCTGCTCACATGGCGTGTCAAGAACCACGCATGCCTTTCCCCGCAGACACACTGATGAGCGATGGCTGAGTTTTATGAAAGGGTGCCCTTTGAAATACGAATTTGAATCATCTCAGTTAATGACACAAACCAAGGGTAAGGGCAGTTGGAGTGCCATGCTTGCCTTTTCTGCCTAGGTGGCTTTCTCTCCCTTGCCCTGCTCCCATGAAATATGAATGACTTTCCCATTACCTCACTTCTTCTGACCAAGACCCATTTCCATTGGCTTCCATCTTGCAAATGCCGCACAAACCTCAGGCTGAGTGCTTCGCTTCTCTGTCCTAAGTGCTCAAATACTCATTGTTTACCAAAGAACAACCTTGGGTTTTCTTTCTCAGACACCTCCCCCGCATTACTTTTTAATAATATTCTTTATAAATTATTAGGCAACTTAGCATAAGACACCAACAACAAAACCTTCTGCCGTAAGTTATTTGAAACAAAATCAGGGGCGTTTTTATGCTCAGCCCATTCCCAGGAGAAAAAGGGAGATGATTTTTGGTCAGTCTTTTCCATCTGCCCTATCTCTCATCGGGGATGGCATGTTAGGGTTCCACTGCAGAGGCATGGCTAGGTCTTAAAAGGCACAAGCACACTCATATGTGTTCTCGAGTAAACCCCCATCAGCAGATTCCCCAGAGGAAGGCAGCACCGAGCCATCAGTTGTGGTATTTGTCTTTTACAGAGTCCCATGGCATCTCTGTAGCCCCCTCGACTCCCACTCCCCATTAGAAGGGCAGCGAAGGTCCGACTGACTATCCCATCCCAAACAGCACATTCTTACGACGTGAATAAAGCCCTTCTGACTCATCATCTCCACACTTGTAGATGACCTGAGAGTTTTCGTCATCTCTGTAGAGGTATTCATCACTTGTCAAAGAGGAAACTGAGGCCGGCTACTTTGTCAACTTGCAGGGATCGAACAAAACATGCAGACTACACTCCGTTCTGGGATCATGATACACACACTGCATAAGTTGCATCGTTAAAATTCGGAGGCTACATTTTTACTTTACAGAAAGAAGTGCAGGACACAACTCAAGGGAAACACTGTGCTGGAGAGACAATTCTAACTATGGACAAGAAATGTTAGGGGTAGGACAGACATGACAGTGGATCCAATTGCACACTCTCCCCTTGGGGTCTGAAACTCAAAATTTGACCTGGACAAGCCTGCAGCAAGCAGACTCCATAAGCAGGTTTGTTGGTTTCCATTCTAACCCTTTTCCAGCATATCATCACTCAACTTTAAGACGCTTTTCCAATAGGGTAAACATTTGTAACTCAGCCCTTGAACCCTGTCCATACAACTTGCCTTCCTTCCTTGACTCAGGAAGGGGACCCAGAGTGATGGGACCTGGCTAAGTTGCCTTCTGCACCCCACTGCCAGTTTACCTGGGAAGCCGTGGAAAGCATCTTCATTTTCCAGAATGCCTCTCGGCTTGGTTGCCTGCAGTTCACTTTTGGACTTCCAAACCAGCTTTACCATCCTGATCATCTCTGGCAAGTCCCAGGGCAGCGGCCCCTGCTGGCACCCCGACCTGCTGCCTAGGGTGGAGGGCAGCACACCTTCTGGGGCCGTCCACCTCCTGCCTAGTTCTGCCGAGTGGAAGTACCGCTCTAGCACAGGCATTCTGCCTTGTGCCCCAGAAGAGGAGGTAGGGCTGCCGCCGTTGCTGCTGCCGCCGCCGCCACCGCTGCCGCCGCCGCCGCCGCTGCTGCTGCGGCTGCTGCCACCAGAGGGGAATTTCTTCCCGGGCAGCTGCAAGCAAACCCGCGTGAAATCCTCTCCAGCCTTGGAAAGACAAGTCTCCTCCAGCCTGGCACAGCCTCTCTGGCTTTCTCAGCCCCTGCACAAAAACAGTGGCGACGAGACGAGACCGATGCACCGCCTAAGGTTCCTCACTGCTGAAAAACCGTCTCTGAACTCCTTCCTTCCTTAGAGATACAGTTCATTTTTCCCCTTCTCTCTCAGGCACTGAATTCACAACACTTAATTAATCCCAGGCTACAGCTGGAACGACAGCGGGGAGGGGAAGAGAAGCCATCGAGGCTTCAGCCTTCACTTCCCCTCTTCTTCCTCCTGTTCCGTTCGTTTTCTACGAGCTTTTTTTGCTGCTTGTCAAGTTTGTCAAGTGGCTTAGCCACGAAAGACTTCAAGCGAAGATGTGGGGCTCCGCTTTGCGTGACGCTCCGAGGGGCCCCTCACAGGCTAGTTATCTGGAAGTGCCAGGTGAGGGGTCAAGCCCTATGGCACAAGAAGCCTAGAAGCTTCCCTGACTCTGGTTCTGCAAATCCCAAGGAGCTTTCAGCCAAACGTGGAAGCTGAGTTCTGCCAGAAATCGTCTGCAGTCGCTTCTCTCTGGAGGGCCTGGTGGGGGGCCTGCCTTGTCTGTCCGCTGTGCCTGCGCGGGTTGGGGGTGGCTTGATCTTACGGAAGACAGTTCAAACACTCTTCTTCCTTTTTCCACACCCCACCCACTTTGCTGTCAAAGTTCTCTGCAAACTAACCGGGTTTTTGGTCTATTAGTCAAATCCCTTTGTAACCTCAGCTGCCCTTCAGCTGGAAGGAAATAACATCGAATCACATTCCAAAGCTAACTGGAAAAAAAAAAAGTGGATTAGGAAAGTATCAAGGTCCTTATGCATAGGCGCAGGGGTGTCTGTTTAGCCTGGACACGTGGCTGGGGTGGTTAAAAACCCATTTTCAAAGGGTAGTCATCGTTTTAAAGGGTGTTGGTAGGGGGTCATAAATGACCTGGAAAAGCAAGTATGGATGATTCTTTTCAGAGAGACCACACTGTGGGCTTAATATCTGGGCCACTGACTACTGTGTCCCCACCCCAGAGTGGTGAATTGAGGACAACCCTGGGCCAAGCCTCTTGCTTCCTGAGGCTCAGAGATGAAGGGGCTGACCCTGAGAGTCAGAGCCAAAGCGACAACAGAGATACCCCCTGTCGCTTATGTGAAAGGCTCTGGACATAAGCGAAAGTGGGGTGGTATTATGCTGGGCATTTTTGCCAGTAAATTGGGTTTGTAGGAACAATTTGAACTCGCATGTTCACACAGAAAGCCCCTGCTTTCCTGAAAGACCTTGTAACAATCCTATCTTCCTTGGAGCTCGGTGTCTCCGCGTTGCAAAGGCCTTTGTTTTGCTTGGCCCTTATTTTGCTGATGTACAAGCTGTTGCTCCTGCTCATTCTACATTCCTCTGGCTGGTGGATCACACAATCACTTGATGTTTCTTTCGGGGGGCATGGAGGAGATTTGGGGGCGAGGAGAAAGACCATTGCAGAGCGCTTTGTTGTCATTGCTACGCTCTCACTTCGTTCTGTTTTGGAAGTTGAAAGCAGTAACGCTTACTGTAATTTTGTCAACATTCTTCTTCCAAAACTATGGCTATTAGGTCTGGTTTTTCAAAATGAATTAAGAGATTCCCCCCCCCTTTCCTTCTAGATGAAAAAGTATACTATACACCTGCTTTCTTTCTTAGTAGATGAAAAAAGGCCTAAAACCCTCTGTGAGAGTGTGAATGTGTGTAATACACATTTGAGACAATGTTTTTCTTAGAATTTCATTATTAAAATATTGCAGTTTTTCTATAACTACATATCCATGCAATGTAATGAGCAAAAACCGGTGATCCACTTTATCTGCAAGATTTCTGTCTTTAATCCTCTCTGTTGAGATAAAAGGGTCTCATCTCCCTAGCTTGACAACTCTCTCGATTCTTACCTGACACCTCCATTGGACTGGGGGCATTGAGGATCTCTGGAATCAGAGGGCTCTGTTAACATCTAGGCTGTTGCATTCCATACCATACTTTCTAAATAATGTTCTCTCTCTCTTTCTTTTTCTCTCATTCATTTTACATACCAACCACAGTTCCTCTCCTCCTCCCACTCCCCACACCTCCACTTGGATAATGTCTTAAAGACACTCCTCAGTCACAAACTTCCCTGTCTTAGCAACTCAAGGGTTTCCCAAGTGTTTGACTATTTTTATTTTTGTTCACTTATTTTGCAAGAGTACTTAGCGTCAGGATATCCTGACCCTTGAAACAAAGGGGTTAAGAACAAAGAAAACAAATATATGATAACGATATATCACAGATGCTAATGTATTAAAAACACAGCTCTTCCTCGTATGTTTCTTGAACACGACTGTTTATAAAAGCCAAGAGTATACATTTCTCTTAGACTACTCCACATATCTCTTTGTAAAAATATTCCAGAGAAGTTACAAAATGTTGGATCACTGGATAAGAGTGTTTCCTATAAGAGAAGGAGTTAGGGCCAAACAAGTATCGTTTTCAATTTTCATCCCAAAGGGGGAACCTACTTCATTTGAATATCTATGTGTCTAAAATGTTTTCACAATTTAAAAATACCCCCCCCCATATGGGATTATCTTCATCCCAGAGCAGAAGTGCAAGAATTACCCCAGAAAGGTCGTTCTCAGGGTATTTCTGGCTCACACGGAGACAGGAAGTACAGGAAATCTTGCGTGAGAGCTTGGCTCGGGAGATTTTTGGCTCGGCAGCAGCTCAGGAGAGCAGGATGAGCCTCTTGCGCACTCAGGGACCAAAAGCTTGCAGCCTCACCGCTCCTCAGAAAGGTGGTTTGGTCACGTCTTGTAACTAATCTCAGGCTGAGAGGTCTCTGGTCTTTCAAATAGTTACCTTAGAGGATCACGCCTGTGAAGCTGTGATTTCCTTCCTCAGTGACTGTCATTGACCCCGGGATACAATGGAATCCAGAAGTCTGGGTCACTGGGCTTGGGAAAACGGCTGGGGTGTCCTGTACTCGCAAGACTTGTGAAACAAAGCCTCGTCTTTGGGAGAATTCTCACAAATGTTGCTATCGGGGATTAAAGTGCTGCAGACAGGAAGTTTTGATATAGAAACTTGTTGGGAGCCTGTCTAGCATGCCAGTAAATGGAAAACGCTTTTCTTTTTGTGAGATGTGAATTCTCCAAGTCAGACCGGACTGGCGAGACTGGCTCAGGGGATAAGGTACTTGGCTGGGTCAGCATCAGGATGCATGGGTCTTCACCGCTCTTGGAAAAACTGGCTTGTAGTGGAGTGCATCTATAACCTTAGTGCTATGGCAGAGGCAGGCAGATCTCTGAGGCTGCTAGCAGTCAGTCTAGCCAATAAGGGGAGAGAAGAAGCCTGTCTCTAAACAACAATACCACCACCAACAAAAAGGCAGAAAAGGGATAGAAGAAGAAACCTGATGTGGATCTCTGTCTGCCATATGCACAGGCACTTACATACCTAAAAACACACACACACACACGAAGGAAGAAAGGAACAAAGAAAAGAGCTTGTTCCAAAGAGAACTGAATTTGACTTTAAAAACTTTGTTGTATGTGTGCAGCTTATATAAAGGAAGGAAATTGATAACCCCAAGAGCAGATACGGTGACATGTACAAAATACATAATTACTTTAATCCTGGAATTAAATTGAACTGTTAGAATTTTTTATGTTCTGAAAGTTGTGAGAATATTATGTAGATGGTGGATGCTCTCTTATAAATTATTATAGTATATCTATTTTATGTCATTTTAAATGGAAACTAACTATTTAAACATTTCAATACACTGTAGAATACATTTTTGTCTTGCAGAAACATATTTGTTGCCTTTCTTTTTCTATTGGGTCTATTAGCAGATTCTTCTAAAACTTTGTTTTAGTGACAACCCCACAGAGATGAATTTGAAATTAATTTATGTCCTTACTGTCCTTCATCATCCATTAATTATCCTTCTGTGTTCGAGGGGTCTGTTTTATTCCATACTTTGTTCTTCGTCAATCCAGCACAAATATGAATCTGTAAACTTCTTCTGACCTCCAGCCCAGACCTTCTGGCCACTCTGGTTTCACAACTGCGATTCAGATGCAATCCAGAATGAGCAAGGCAGGAGACACAGGTCTTTTAACTTTGTTTAATATAGCCCAAGTCGAAGAAGCTCAAACAATTTACAGTGCCCTTCGAGAGACATAGAAATGTAACAGCTTTGGCCTTAGCTAATCTCAAGGACCAATGCCAGCAGGTAAGGGAAGGAGCTGGTCTACAGAGCAACCATACAAGGCAGCACAGATTTCCATTGTCACATGGACAGGGAGGAAAGTGGGCACGATGAGACAAGGAGAGATGAGGGAGAGGAAGGAGATGGGGTCAGGCCAACAGATTCGGAGTTTGTCATAACAGGTGCCTAAGTTCTACTTTGTCAGTTGTTCACTATTCGGTCATGCAGCGACAGGGGAACCTGTGCTGCCCCTGGGTCTTGTCTTAGGCACTGAGAGCTGCTGGGCTCTGCGGCTGAGATGCTGGTAGAAGCGGGTATCAGAGTTCTAGCAGAAGTCAGGCCTCTCTCTCCCCATTTAGGAAACGGAGCCAGTGCTGAGTTTGCCGTCTGTCTGACGTATTTCCAACAGCAGAGGAGCCTATACCAGAGTCGGGGCAGAGGTCAAAGCAGCAGAAGACATACGTTTTTCCCCTGCCTCTTCCTTGCTGCTGCAGTGGACCGGCATTCCTCCCAGGAACACTTCTCAGTCCTGAGACCCAGGCTTCCTATTGCTGTCGCCTTTTCATAATTTTTGATTGTGAAATACTATAAATGGTAGGAGAAGAAACTTGCCATAATTTTATATTTGAGTTTCTACTGGAAAAAGAAACAAAAGCAAACAACAAAACCTCCAAACCAAACCAAGGAGAACAAGAATGAACTCTGTAAAGTTCCTATAAACCCTAGGACCACTTATCTCAGGTTTACAAAGCTGGGTTTCAGACTGTACTTACCATTGAGTTTGACCTCAGATTTAATGTTTTATGGTGTGAGAGCAGTAAACACCTTATCCATCACACAGTGATCTTTTAAGAATTTAAACAGTTTAAAAATGAGCGATTTGAAAATTGGAAGTGTGCTGTAAAATTTAATATTATTATTTTAAAAGTTTAAGACAGACTTGGCCGAGAGTGGTGATTCACTCTGTAATCTCAGCACTTGGGAAGCTGAGGCAGGGGGATCACAAGTTTGAGGTCAGTGAGACCCTGTCTCAAAACAACAAAAATAACAACAAAGAAATCGTGCTGACAATTTCCCTAAGGTCAGATTTTGACTATGTTTTTGACTATATTATCTATTAGAAAGCTGAAAAGCCCAGCTCATCTCTCCTTAAAGTAAGACCCTTTGGAAGTTCATACTTCTCATGAGAACTCAGAAGTCTAAAGAAACAAAGACCCGAGCTGTGGATATTACTGGGGTGGTCCATTCTGGAAACAGTAAGGGATTGA